TATGTATATGTATATGTATATACCTATATATATATATGTATGTATGTATGTATGCATGCATGTATATGTATATGTATATGTATATGTATATGTGTGTACATGTATGTATATGTATGTATGTATGTATGTACATATATGTATGTATGTATATGTATGCATATGTATGTATAGGTATGTATGTATGTATGCATATGTATGTATATGTATGTGTATGTGTATGTATGTGTATGTGTATGTATATGTATATGTATATGTATATGTATGTATACAAATATATATATATATATTTATGTATATGTATGTATGTATGTATGTATGTGTGTGTATGTATGTATGTATGTATGTATGTATGTCTGTATGTGTATATATATATATACATGTACGGCAGTTCACAGCAGATTTCGTCGCAACTGCGTGGAGCTGGCCAGCAGATTATGTGCTCAGGATTTTGGAGCCACAGTTTGCATCGGTACAGCAGAACGAAAACGGCCCCAGGCTTCGGCCCCGAGTTTCCCAGCCTTCTTTGGGTCCCGTGCAAGGTCAGCTCGCGTGACCTCCATGTTGTCCCGGCGGCAGTGGATTTGAAGGGCGGCTTGGTGCAAAGGAGAAGCAGGAGCAGTCATGGTCGAAGCAAGTCTCAACTTTTTTTTTGCTCGCTTCTTCTGGTGCTGTTGCTAATGGACCGGCAATGCAACAACTGGTCGGTAGCGAGGCTTCGGCACTGTGGAGTACTCGGTGGTGAACTTTCTCGGCTGCAGTCTCCCAGGCCTCAGACAACCCAGAACTTGCACTCGACTCCTGGCATCCTTGCCCGATCTTGCGCCATGGTCAGGTCATCAGGCCAAAGCTGTTTGAGCTGGACTGCATCGACAAGGTATGCATGTTCAGCTTTGAACGGCTTAGTGTTCGCATAGATAGGGTCGGCCATAAGGCACCTGCTAAGAATTCAGAATTTGTTCGGCCTTGACAGTAGTTCAGATTTTGCGGGCAATTCAGAGAATTTATGGAATCAGCAGAGCTGGGACCTTTGCTGCGATGTTTCCGCTCGAAGATAGCATCACCACTTGCACAAATGCGGGACTCGGCCCATGTGGCGAAGTAACCTGCGCCGGCAAGCAGTCCTTGTCTCGTCTAATGTGGACATCTGCCGAGGTGAGCTGAATTTGACACCTCGCACAGGGCACATACAGTGCCGCCATTTCTTGCAAGTAGCCGTGCATGCATGCGATTCGAGTGGTCCTGGAAGGCTTGCGCGCTTGCGCACTTGCGGAATCGCTCCATACCATACGGCACCTAGAACGCTCGACAACCTTGCGATCGTGGTGCTTCTGTCCCCGATGAGTTTCGCTTGACCAGCTTGCGAGCCATCGTCGGGCATTTACAGCTAAGAGGCTCGTATGTATGCGGCTGTCCAGCAGGAGCAAGGTCCAGCACATGTTAAGCAAAGCATTTGCCATTATTTGGCTGCCATTAATCTAAAATAATGTGTAGCATCTCAGGAAGGGATCTTTCAGTGATGAGCCCTTCTGGGTGCGTTGGCCCTTGCACCCTGGCCGTGTTTTCAACCAAACCTGACGGGTTTGCACAGGTGGGCCGAGCCACGACATGCATGTATGTATGTACGTACGTATGTACGTATGTATGTGCATATTATGTATATAATGTATATGTATATGCAGTATAAATACATATACATACACATAGTACACACAGTCAGCATTGCAAGCGTTGCATGGGACGTGCGTGGCCGGCCCTTGTGTTGCCTCTGCTGCGTTGCCCCACGGACCTGCGGTGCCTCCGGCCTTCGGCGGAGCAACCTGCCTCCACGAAACACCTGAAGCATGGGAGGTCAGGGACTCAAATACGACCTGGAGGATCCTAGACGCATTGAAGCAGGTGCCAACATTCCTTTGGCGATGTCGTTTGAATAGGCCGATGCCTGCCCTGCAGGCAACACTAACCGGCACTTTCCCTGGATAGAGTATCTAGCTGGCAAATTGGGCAGCTTTAAAATTTCCCTTATGGTTTCTATAGATGCACCTGTTCAGTTCATAAATGCTTTTCAGGGCCCCAGAACTACAATCCAGGTATGGTTGCTACGCTCGGTAAGAAGTCACGGTGCGTGGTGGAGCTGGTTGTGCACCGAATGTTTTCAGAAGGCTGCGAGTTGTGCATGTCCCGACTTTGGAAGTCCGTTTAACGGGACAACCCAGGATCCCTGAACGCCGAGAAGCTGAGCGCTCACCGTTGAAGGTACGGTGGATGCTGGTGCAGGGCTCAAACCCGCAACCTGAAGGCTTCCGGCGCCAGGGAGTTCAAGAGCCATCAAACGAGGGTTTGTGGGTTCCACTATTCGCGAGTTTTGGGGCTACAGAATGTAGGTGGCTCTCTAGTTTTATCCTCCACCCCGACTGACAAGCTTGGGCCGCAAATCGGGCTTCGGTGCTCAGACGCGATTTCCGCGTTATGTGGCCCCGTTTGACGCTTGCCAGTGGCCAGAGTTCTCGCTCCTGCTCTTTCTGAGCGGCATCGTAAAGGTGCCCTTTGCCCGAGAGGTGTTGAAAGGGCGGAGCAGTCCTGCGCCTAGGTCCTCGGTCAAGCCCTGTCTTGCAAGATCGCAGACAATGGTCTATGCACATGGGAATCCAGCAGAGGATGGTGCAGACTGCGTGAGGTGAGCTATGCCGAACGGGGTTCGGAGTTGTGTACGAAGTAGGATTTAAGTGAGGCACGGGGTTGGTACAGGTTCATGCCTTGCTGCATGTATTTTCCTTCAATTTTGGTTCTTGCCAAGGCTATCGGCTGTGACACATTCTCCTGTGAATAGCCGGAATGGCACTGTTCCCTTGAGATGTGTACTGGAAACTCAATCCAGAAGATGCGTGACAGTCGACCTGCAGGCAACACTGCTTAAGATCAATTCCGGTCTTGAGCCTTCCAAGCGCCTGCGAGGGCATGCGCGAGAAGCCGGGAATCCCTGCGCCATCTCGGAGAGCTCGCCTGGTATCTGCGACAGTGGCTCATAAAGTATATGCATGGTGAATGTCTAGATAACAAGGAAGGCGACAGCTGTCCTTAGCCCAAAAATTCGAGACTCAAAAACATTCGATGCAGAGCTCACAGTCGTGGGTCCAGGGCAACCGGGCAGGCTCCTGGCTGTGCCTCATCGTGGGCTAATGCGCCCTGGGGTATCTTTGAAGGCTTGGCATCTGGAATCTGAGAGGCCCAAAGGGACATAGATACATAGTCAAGAACATGAGACGAGGTTCACATAGCATCCACCACCTACATGTATACTGTAGTTACGCATGGCTTAAGCACAACCGGTAAGCATCTGACAACTGAAAGAAAAAAGCGTGCGCACACACACACAAATGCTTGCTGCTTACGTGCTTGCATAGGTTCCATGACTGACTGCAACTGTAATTCGGATGGTCACATGCGCAGATTCGCATCCGAAGGCTTTGATCAACAGGCATGTAGTGAGGATTTAAAGCGTGAACACCACGGCACAACGAAGCGGACACATGTATAAAACAACTTGTAGACATGTAGTGCTGTTGGGACCATGTGTTTAGGCACATATACCTGCATGCATCTGCAGGCTTGTGCATAACACATAACATGTATAGATATATGTAGAGACAGGAGAGAGTAAACCCAACACAGGGACATACCCCTAGGCCCTAAGCGTTGCCAAGGAAAGAGAGACAGCCTTCGGCATTCGGCGTCTGTGAGCCGGTGAGTGTGAGAGGGTGTGACCTCATGTGGCTTGTTCTACAGTGTCAATCCTTGCTAAGTCCCCGGTGCAGCACGCGAGCATTGTCTTGCTGTGCACGAGAAGAGCGAACGCCTTGCGGGCAGGCCTTCGGGCACTACCTCTAAAGATCCTCTGAGCCCTTTGCAAGCAAGGGGGTGTTTGCCTTGAGGTTTGGTGGGCTTTATAGGCCAAGGCACACACGACGCTCATTGGTCATTGCAGACTTGCGTTTCCCTTGCTTGATGCCGATTACCTCTGCCAACGACGATCTGGCAGATTTGGAACCTTTCGCAGGCCCCTAGCTTGTCAACCTTGCTTCAGGGGAGTATCACAAGGCGGTCCCGCCTGGGATTGCGGCATGCTTTGGGAAGGCAGGCGCTGGGGGCACGCTTGCCGCCCTCAGGCCCGGAGCCAATCGATGTACGAGCTGGCGATCGTTCTTCACAGGCTATACAGCCCTTGCCGGCAAGCGGGTTGCTTGGACTATAAGCAGTTCGCCCCAAGTGGTTTTGTGACGCGTTGCGTTCTGATGAGCGCCGGTGTGCGTTCGGTATGGCGCTGTGTTTGGGCTGATGCCCACTTTGGCGTCAGGTGTCCCTGTCCCAGTGCACAGCAAAGAGACGCGTGCTGGATTGGCAGGCGCTGCTTGAGGCAGGTCGTCCGGAAGCACTGTGCAGTGATGTAGTGTTTTTTGAAGTCGATCCCTCCAAGCGTGGCACTACCTGGTGTGTCATGATCGTGCCTTGGACTTGATCGGTGTTACTTTTCGGCTGAGCGCCAAGGAGTCCGTGCCATTCGCGCTGAGGCTTGGGGTGGATCGTTGTTTATGGCACGGTTTTGGCTGCGGTGGTGCTGCGGGGTTCGGCTTTCTCGGGCCTGGACGGCCCTGCTGATGTCATGTCTGCAGCCAAAAACACTTGCCTGTCTGCATGAGCAGTTGGGGGTTGGGGTGGCACACACACACGTTATTCTCGTTAGTCACTGCAGACTTGCGTATCCTTTTGGTTTGCCAGGTTTTTCCTGTGTTCAGGAGCATCCGCTTGTTCAGGTCAGGCAGCTGCTTTCGCCCGCCAGCCCGCCCCGATGAGTGGCAAATAGCGGCAAACGGCATCATTCGACCGGTGATTGGTCCAGTGTGGTGCCGTTTTTTCCCTCCGGGTTCGGATTTCTCGGGCCTGGATGGCCCTGCTGATGTCATGTCTGCAGCCAAAACATCTGCATGTCTGCATGTTGCGGGTTAAAGCGAGGCGGTCAGGGAGGGAGAGAGAGGCCAGCCTCACCCGCAAAGCAAAGCGGCACAAAGCAAAGAAAGAGCGAGAGAGAGACAATCTAGGTGTCCCAAAGTCACTACATGGATAAACGTCAGCCTTCCCAAATAGTAATTGCTCGTCCTTCTGACGTTGATCCGTGTTTCTTTTCACTGTCCCCTCGAAGCCCCATAACATATGGGGGGCCAATAGGCCGGGGGACCTTAACAGTCCCCTACGCCCTGGGGAAGAAGAGAGACAGAGAGAGACAGCGAGCCATCCTCCTTGTCCCTTGTGAAAGAAGGACAGAGCCAGTAGTTTGTCACCTAGCAGGCAAAGCTGTTGGTTCTCGACTTCCTGACAACAGTGGATGCGCACCATGCGCACCGAGTGTAAACGTGGCCAAGGCTTCGTCCCCTACCTAGGCCCTGCGAAAGAAAGGGGGGGCAAGAGAGTGAGAGGGAGAGAGCTGACGATTGGGGACCTTCGCGTCCCGCATCGCTGGAGAAGAAGATTTAATGATTATCGCATATCAGATGTCCGACACTTGCCTGGGAGTGTGGGTGCAAAAATGAAAGACATGTTACTAGTGCCGAGTCTCCGTCAGGCACTTAGAGTGAAGGGAATGTCCCGCGGTTTCCTCACTTTTGCGCCAGATGCCTTTCCCAACCTTCTCTCAGACACTCGCCACCAGTGCAGGAAAAAGCGGCTGGGATGTTTTAAGCTTCATTTCTCCTTTTCTCTCTCTCTCTCTCTCTCTCTTCGTTTGCCAAACATTAAGTGTCTTACGGGCTGATCTAAATTCTAAGTAACGATCCATCTGTCGACTTGTGTTTGTATCCGTAGTT